TATATATATATATAGGCAGTGCAGGTATGTGAAAACCAGCTGAGTTTTATTTCTGTTAGAAAACAGCTGCAGACAAATGTTTGTGTTGGAGGAAGAATCTGAGTGAAGAACAGCTGCAGCTTCCTTCACTTTCTGACACAGTGACTCACGATTAATAAAACCTCACTTTCACACATGAATCAAACACAACCATACAAACTCTGGCCCATGCAGGAGCAAAGCATGGCTCCCGGGCCAGAAGTGGCCCGTAGACGACTTCTGTCCGGTCCGGGAGGCGCTCAAATGAAAACGACTGAAAACAATAAACAAAATTAGATTTTAGTTGTTAGATTTTGATTATTTAAAACTACAACAGGTTTTAATTTAATGTTTTAGGTTCTGCTGATTAAAGATCCACACTTTAAAACAAAAACAAACTTAGATCCAAACTTTGCATCTTTTCCATAATAATTTGTCACAAGTGTCAGTTCACAGACAGGAGAAAACTTTTATTGTATTTATTTTTTATTCTCAACATTAAAAAAACCTGAGAATTTTCCAACAATTCTTCTGGTTTAAGATGTGACCAATCAGCTGTAAATCATCCCTGTGGACCAAACCTGACTCGTTTCTTTCTTTAACCCTCTGATGTCAGGAGCAGATTTTATCATCATTAACAGAAGATCTCTGAAGAACTAAAGCTAAATAAAGGTCGTGATGTTTTGTACAGCATGTTAAAAACCTGAAGGGAGTGAGTGCAACTTTTTCTGATTGGACAGACAGATTATTAAAGATTAAATGTTGTTTTAGGTGATTTAAAAGCTTTCAGAGTTTTATTCTTCCTCCAGTAAACACCTCTGTTCCACAACACCATCATAAATCAGTTTGTGGACTATTTTTAAACCTCTTCTTTCAAACTTGCTCATGTTTTTCATTTTCCTGCTCTGTTTTTAGAAAGCGGCTCCAGGTTCTGGAGAGAGTTCTGACTCATAAACACGTCCTCTGCCAGGTTTCTTTTATCAATTAAGTGCAGAGGAAGTGTTTGGGAGTGGGTCTGCTGTTTCCTCCCTTTCTTCTCCTCCTCCTCTCTGCCTCCGTTTGATTTTCATTAGTTCCTTCAGATTCTGGTCCCAGTTTGAGGCAAACGGGTCGAGCCTGGCCTGTGAAACGTGGCGGCGGAGTGACGCTGACTCAACTATGAGCTGTCAGAGACGTTGAACACATGAAGGCAGGAAGATCTCAGCTCACAGCTGCTTGTGTCAAATGTTGCTTTGATAAACTGATTTCAGCCTCCGGTCGTGTCCTCACTTTAAATTAATGAGGACTTCTTATTGCACGGCTGTCTGTTAGCAAAATATCTCTTATCTGGTGGAGTTGTTTTAATAATGCATTCAGAAAAAAAATAGGTTAGCTTCTGGAGTCAACTGGATTAAAGATGGCCGCCCAAGCTAATCAACCTGAGCAAACAGAAACGGCTAACACTTTGGTTTTGCAGATATTAAAGTGAAACGTGGTGTGGTAGTAGCTGAGAGTCATTTACGTTGTGTTAACTTTAAAAACAAACTGACCTGCAAGGTGTCGGGTGATATGCGTTGTGTCAAAGATTGTCAGAAACCAGGATGAAGAACGGGACACCTCATACATCAAATTAAAGTCGTCCCGCTGTGAAATGTTTTTATAGCCACTTGTTGACAAATTGACACATTTGTTGTTACATTTAGAAACTTTAAAATGATTTACACGCTCTGCTTTGGCAACAAAAGCCTCATTTTGTTTCCTCACCGGAGCCATAAAAGCAGCATAAATCACTGGAAATGAAGCTTTGTTGTCTGAGGACGAGCAGCTGATGAGATGTGATCAGCTGTCAGAGAGAAGCTCAGGTCTGGACTCTGAACACCTCCAGAACCGTTTCCACTCCTGCACAAAGCGTGTGTTTGTGTTTGTGTTTGTGTTTGTGTTTGTTGATGAGTTGGACTCTGCAGTGAAAAGTCTTTGTTTTCTTCAGTCGGCTCATATGAGATCCTCATCAGCCTCTCCTGCTTCAGCCATTAGAAGTTTTATTGAGTCTTTTTTTTCTCTTTTTTTTGATGAAGCAACAGAAATCTTGTCTGACAGCTGGAGTTCTGGCTGACCCGCTCTGTTTGTCCAGAGCTGGTTCTGGTTTCAGGCTGGGTATCAGATGTGTTTTGGTTGTAGCTCTCAAAGAGATGAGGTATAAATTTGTAAAAGGAGAGCTGTGGTCGGTGTTGTTTACCCAAACCTGGACTTGTCTTCAGTTTACAGAAACATCAGAGCCCGAGGGTCTGCAGGTTGTTTTTCTAAAAGCCCCCACAGTTCTGACACGCTTCAGCCTTCATGGACAGAACCAGCCCAGCCTGAGGTCTTTGTTTGTGTTACCCACCGGACCGCAGGCGCTGACCCATCGCCTTACCTGCACAGTTCAAACCTGACCACTGTGTGGGCGGAGCCACTCGTTCTGCCACGTTTTTCACTCCTCCTGTCAGGATCTGAACATCCTGACACAAGAAAAACAGCTTTTTCTAAATCTCTGCAGCTGGTTTAGCCATGGCAGAGTAATTAAATGTTTAAAATCTGTTTCAGTTATGAAGAGAAAGTTGTTCCAGAAGATGCACTGTAAAAAATGAAATGTTTGGATTTACTTAACCAAGTTATGTGACCTGGTTCCACTTAACTGAGTTGAGTAAATTCAAAGCAATATACCAGTTTTTTAACCAAAGAACATGAGCATGTTGCTTTGAATTTACTCAACTCAGTTAAGTGGAACCAGGTCACATAACATGGTTAAGTAAATCCAACATTTCATTTTTAGAGTGTGGTTTCTGACCGTTTTCTGTTCACAATTAGCCTCAAAGAGTCTCCAAAATGCTCTGAAGCACATTTATTTTTTTTATTTTTTGATGAGGTCGTGGTCCCGTCGCATTAAGTTTGAACTTGTTAAAATAATTTGTACGACAGACTTTCTCTCTTTTGTTGCTTGTTCTGGTTGTTTTTATCATCTGGGATGTTTATCAGATTTGTTTTTAGATTAATATAAATCAATAAAGTCCTTCCTTTTAAAAAAAATCCATTCTTTCTCTAATAGTCTAAATGATAACCACATTTAGAATTAGTGGCTGATTGTAAACGTTGTCAGATCTGATTTATTTGGTTTTACTCTTCTTGCAGCACCAGAACAGTATGAACAGTTTGTGTTTATTAGAGCCAGGTATCGAGGCCAATCCCCTAAATCCATTCCACATCGATTCATAAGTCTCTGAATCAATTCACCAGGATTTGATTCAATTCAATCTGCTCTTAAATAAGAATAATGGTTCAACTGTTGCAAAAGACAAGTTTACTTGATTTTCTTCTCTTCAACATAAACATATTTTGAGGACAAACTCATAAATTGGACATTTTAAAATTGAAACATAAACAAAACTGTCTCAAGTC